ATATTTTATTCAGGAAGGGCTTCCTTCTATTCGAAAGCCGAAAGTGTTTATGGCTGCACTTTGGATTCTCGGCACGTACTGTGAGAATGATGCAGCTGTTCTTGCTGTGCTTCGACTTGTCAAAAACTCTCTTGGTGAATTACCGCTTGTGGAAAGCGAGATGCGCATGATGGAGGGTGAGGAACCTGCACAAGAAGATGCTACTGAGAAAAAGGTATTCTTGTTTGTGAATAGGCTGGGGCATGTTTCGATTGGATATGTAATTACGAAAATCCTTCTTATATATGTCTATGATATTTCATAGCTATCATCATCTAATGCACTATCGCACGCAACTTTTCGAAAATCTTCATCGGAAATCAATTAGTTAGATAGTAGTTGCTGCTTTCAAATCGTCTATATTGTCATGAATATGTTTCTTTTTCATAATGTAGCCGATGCACAGCCAAGTTTTCTTCCTGGTTATAAAAGCTTCGTTATCGGGCAACAAATTTTGGTTTTCTTTTTGATTTCATATGTTCAAAATTGTAGGAATACGTTCAATTTGTCGACATTTTCTGAAAAATTCTGAAAATAACGGATCACGTGAATTTGATCATAAGGACTATCCCAGTGTCTTCAGAATTAGAGCTTGAGAGGCGTCAAATCTAACTACAAAGCTTTTCGTTTTTCCCAAAACCTGATTTCTTCTGTCTATCAATCTGTCGATCGTATAACGATAACGCTTTGGAACGATACCGGCTAGGACAAAATTCTTTTTTGATCAACTACTACATTTTTTCAGACAACTGCCAAACAGCTAGTTACTGCTGATGGCACCTATGCCACGCAATCCGCTCTCTCTGTGTCTACCAAGGCAAATAATAAGGAAAAACCACCACTCAGGTTTGAAATCATTTTTCTAAACTCAAATCTTTTTCTGTACACTTGGCGATGTGTATCTTATGAATTCTCATGGCTGGATTGAAAAGGATAAATTCAGACAGTTTCTCCTTGATGGTGATTTCTTCCTTGGAGCCTCGTTGGCGACAGTGCTCAATAAACTTGCAGAACAATTCACCAGGAGTAATGGAGGTGAAGTTTGTCTCTCTATTAGTTTGTAACAATTTTTCCTTTTTTTAGCTGGCTCTCAGCGTGCCAATCGTTTCCGTGGTGAATGTATGTTTATTCTTGCTTCCATAATCAACCTGGGAAAAAGTGGTCTCGCCAAGCAGAATATTACTGAAGATGATCTTGACAGGTGCTTCGTTTTTCAAATTTGCCGTCCCTAACTTCATAGACTATTTTTTTTTTCAGAATGGGAACGACCATCAAGCTCTTGGCTCAGGGCTGTACCGACTTGGATGATGCCTTTGTAGAAAAATGCAAAGATAGCTTGGAACTGATGCTGGCTAGTCGACACCAGGATAAGACAGACGAGTTTTCTATGAAGAAGAAGAACATTATCGAGGTTGAGTTTGTTGTTTCTCGTTGTGGTTGTTCATATTATGATTTACAGGTCGACAAAACAATAATGTTCACGCAGCTAAGTGCTCGAGCTGATGCCAGCATTGGAGAAAATCTGTTTGACCTTTCACTTTCTCAAGCCCTAGGAACTGCTCCAAAAACACAAAAATTCGATTTTTCGAGGCAAGTAGTTTTGGTTCAATGCTCATATGACTACCACACTATTTTAGCTCTAAACTGGGAAAAGTGATCCAACTAGCAGGTTTTTCGGATCCAGTGTACGCCGAAGCGTATGTTAGTGTCAATCAGTATGATATTGGTAGGTTGTTGGTGCTTCATGGACGCCTAGAGCAAATCCTTTGTTGCAGTTTTGGATGTTCTTATCGTAAATCAGACCGCGGATACGCTGCAAAATGTTTCGCTGGAATTGTCGACTGTAGGCGATCTCAAGCTTGTGGATAAACCCACCCCAATTACCTTAGCCCCAGCCGATTTCGCGAATATCAAGGTAGTGCAT